CCACTGTGGCTGGATCATGTGGGTCCTCCCCCCAAGTAAGCATCACCCCTCCCAGAGCATCTCTGGACCACCCTATCCAAACCACTTCTCCCACACCCACCCCCATCACTCTCATCATCTGTCTTGTCTTCACTTGTTGAGATCTGAAGTTATCCTGCCTTATTTGTTCATTTGTTCATCTGTCTTCCCCTCTGGAAAGTGAATGCCACGAGGGACAAACCTGGGCTTTCTTCTACAGCACAGCCTGCACATAGTAGGTGCTTAATAAAAGCTTTGTAGTAGTGTGTGAATGAATGGGAGGTTATAGGGAGTGTAGGGGGAGCCCTTATGGCATAGCCCCACTGTGAGGACAGGAACGGTACTTTCTAGTCACCAAGTGTCTGGGAACAGAATTCATCCCTGACTCTCGGCTCCGGGCCCCAGCCTAACCTGCCGCTCAGCCTAGACTCTTGAGAATTGGCTGCCTCTTTCTCCCATGGTCAGATGTTGCCTCAGATTTGAGCTGTTGTAATTGAAATCAAGGTCACAAGAACCTGTGGCCGCCATGTGACCTTGTCCAGCAACTTCCTCCCTTCATCCATCCCACAAAACAAAATAGCCCAGATGCAGTACCTAACTTGCAAACACAACGCACAGTCCGTGGCTCAACCACTCACCCGACACATAGTTATTGGGGCGCGGGGGCTTGGGGTGATCGTGGCAGAGCTGATATTCCGGTGGAGTCGGCAGGACAGCAGAGGAGTAAATGCACACACGATTTCAGGGGATGATAATGACAATAACTGCCAGAAAGAAGATGAAACAGGGAGATCTAACGGAGGCGATGGATGGAAAGGGCTGCTCTGGAGACCCACGTAATGGGAAAAGCACCTCAGGCAGAGGGAACAGCAGTTGCAAAGGCCGCAGTGGGAATGAATTCAGCATAGTAGATTATCCGTGAAAAGGCCGGCGGGGGTGGAGCGGACTCAACACGGGAGAGAGTGGTCAGAAGTGAGAGCTGGTGTGAGCAGCCTCACCTGGGGCCGTGTAAGAGCTTTGAAAGCATTCTAATGGCAGGGGAAGCCACGGGCCCACTTAAAGCAGGAGATGACACGGTCTGATTTATGTTTTCAAGATCACTCAGGCTGCTATGCAGCGAATGGACCGTAGGGAGGAGAGAGCAGATGCAAGGAGGTGAAGTCAGAGACCTCCGTGTAGGTGGTTTCTGTTTCCATTCTGGATGCTCCCTACTGTTCTCAGTGGACATGGAGAGGAATCCTGTGCTCTGCCTTTTGGTGCTAGAGACTATTGGGGGGGTGTGGGCAGAAAGAATAGTAAATCAAGGAGTAAATAGCCTTTATTTAACTATGCTATGTTTGATTCAGGGAGGCAATGTACCTTACATTCCTTTGACAAATAGTGTGCTAGGCACTGTTCTAAATGCCACCAAGGACAAGTGCCTGGTCCCCTTTCTCATACTTAATAAATTGTTCTTAGGGTTAATAAAAAATCTATTACATCAATGCTGCCATGGGATCAAAATATAATTTAAAAATCATTATTTGTTCCCCTGTTGAATAACCTATATTCTATGAGCATTTTATTTCCCATAGAGTGTACCTAGAGAAAAAAAAAAAAATAAAGAGAATGCCACCACCCTACCCAAACCTAAAAAGTCTGCTACAAGACTATTCAAAAGACCACGTGATAATGGAATGGGGAAGCAGCCTTCAAAACACAGCACGGTCACTCTGGAGCTGCTGGACTGCGATGACTAAGGGAGGAAATGACAAGGGCCTGGAGGGGAAATAAGTTAAAAGGAGGAAGGTGGGAGCCTGGTTAGAAAGATGCTGCTGAAGGGGAGATTAGAAGAGTCCAGCATGAGTTGCAAAAAAGGGAAATAATTTTTTTAGGAACCATTTCCAAATGTATTGCTCATGCACCATTAGTTCAGAAGAAGAGGAGTCTTGTGTACACGCACACGAGAAGCAGAGTTAGCACCGACAACACAGCACTCCCTCCTGCACCAGGGACAGGGTCTCCCAGCCCGCAGCACTGGAGGTTCCGGTCTCCTCAAACCCCTGGGAAACAAGTGTGGACCAAGCAATGTCATTCACAGGCACTTCTGGGCCCCTCATCTGGCCACTCCAGAGAGAATTTCTGCATGCGCTTATACATTAGTGAATGTACTACTCTTTTTCTTTAAGCTGTTGCTTCACCTTAGAGTCAAGAACAGCTTTTGTTTGTTATGCATCTGTCAGAGACCGGCCCAGGCATTCTGTCTTTGGGGGCTTTTGGGGTTGGCAGGGAAGTGGGGTAAGAAAGCAGTAGGACTCTTCTCCCTTGAGGTGTTTGCCATCTGGTTAACAATAAGTAAAAAGTGCTTTGGGGATTGTTCACTTTGGGTTCAGAAATTAAACTCACCCACAGCTGAAAGGGGAGTAAAGGCGCAAGAGTCAGTTACCGGCAGCAAGTACCTCAAGGTACCCCTTTCTTAGGCTGGCCTTTCCCAAAGTGAGGCAATCAACAACCACTGGGAAACAGGGCCGTAACATAAGACGTTCTCTCTGAACTGCCTTTGGGCATCCCAAACGAGGGTTGAGGTGGGTTTATCTGAAGTCCATTATCAACAACAAAAGGAATCAACCTTGTGAACTGGAATAAATTCTCACCAACAGAATGAAAGAAGAAAAGCTTAAACAACAAGATGGTTCCTTGCTTTGCTAACACATCTCTAAAAATGACCCTGGAAAAACAGAGAATTCAGTGAACAAGCATGAAACTTCACTCATTTCTCTGTGATACATTAAATAGCTTGAGCCAGTTGTGAATTCTTCCTGATTAATTGAATGGAAAAATCACACGGTGCAGAGATCTTGACCACTGGCCTACCAGATGATTCTAGGTATGACACACAGAACTTTTTTTTTTTAATATTACTTACTGTATCTTAATGTGCATTAGAAAAAACTAAAACTAGCTCATCAATTTCATAGGTAATATTGCTTAGGGAGAGTTGGTTTTTAAAAATTGGCTCAATTTGTTATTTTAACTTTAAAAATGTATAGGTGGCACACAGATATGGCAGGAAGCCTGCAGTCACTAGACACACAAATTTTGAGAAACACAGTTTTAGAAAAGCTTTATCCTAATTGGAGTTGGCATAACCGCTTACAACCAATCAAATAACATAAAGCTCCTTCTTTCTCCATGCCTTTCCTCCCTTTTTCTTTTCAAAGAAGGAAAGAAGGAAGGAAAGGAAATTACTAAATAGAAAGAAAATGCACCCACATGTTACTTTCTTTGTAATCCCTCTGATGGCGCTCATGAATTAAGAGGTAAGAGCAGGGAAAGAAAGAAGCCATGCAAAATTAGGTTTTCAGTTGGATGGGAACTTGGAGATCACCCTAAAAAGCGACCTCACTTTCAGATGAAGAAACCAAGGCCCAAAGAAGTTCTCAGTTACTCACCCTCCTCCCTCAGTGAGTGTTTCACGGGTGAGGGTGGAATTCTCGACCACGTACTTTGACCCAAACTTCCTTCCAAATCCTCAGTTTCCCAAACCAAATATCTTAACCACTAACTCAGGGACTTGTCCAGCAAGGAGTAGACTTGGAGATGGGAGACAGCGGGACAGCTGTGATTAAATACACTAGGATCTCAGAGCATTGTGAGCTCTAGAATGCAGTGTGGTATGACATGGACCCATCTTGGGCCACATCCAAGAAAATCAGTCATTTGAAGGCCTGGGAGACCTTTATTGCTGAATAATTTCAGTCCTTTTTTTTTTTTTTTTTTTGAGACAGAGTCTGGCTCTGTTACCCTGGCTAGAGTGCCGTGGCATCAGCCTAGCTCACAGCAACCTCAAACTCCTGGGCTCAAGTGATCCACCTGCCTCAGCCTCCCGAGTAGCTAGGACTACAGGCATGCGCCACCATGCCCGGCTAATTTTATCTATATATATTTTTTTTAGTTGTCCAGATAATTTCTTTCTAATTTTAGTAGAGATGGGGTCTCGCTCTTGCTCAGGCTGGTCTCGAACTCCTGACCATGAGCGATCCCCCTGCCTCGGCCTCCCAGAGTGCTAAGATTACAGGCGTGAGCCACTGCGCCCGGCCCAGTCCTTTTTTTTTTAGTTTCTTCTTTTCTGCTAAACATCCTGTAATACACACATTTCAGTCCTGAGCTTAGATCAAGGGAACCTGGTCACCCGTCCCCACAGCACACATTGCCAGACATACAGTAGGTACTTATAAATAATTGCTGGTTCAATGAAGCACTAAAAGTACAGTTTAGAAAGGTTCCTGTGAATAGGGGAACTATTCAAGCTAGTCGATCTGGGCAAGACCCAACCTATTAGAAAATCACAGTATTCAGGTATCAGGGAAAAAAATGTTTCATTTCCACCAGTGCCTTTGGAATTTTTTTCTGGCCACAACCTCTTCCTCAAAGTCCCAATAATAGGCAGTGCCATCCACAGTTACAGAAGTCCGTGTAATGTGTGGTTTTTCGTCTAAACCATCAGGAATAATTCAAAGCCAGATGGATCAGAGTTCAGTGGTATGGAGAAGGCAGTTAAAGTTTGTGCTTACTCACAGAATATGCCATTTTCCTGGATGGCTTTTAGAGGTGTTAGGAAAATAAGGAATTATTCTTTTATTTAAGTTTTTCTTTTTCTCTCATATCCCTCCTCATATCCAAGTTCACCAGGTGAACCGATGGATAAACCAGCCAAAATGGCTATTTGCATCCAGGTGGATGGAGGGAACCGATGGGAATGTCAGAGAGAACGCACCATGCACCGAATGGCCCATCCTTTCCCAGGGCTGTTGCTTTCAGCCCAGATCTACTGGCAAGGACAGCTGCAGGAAAGGCTCTGTTCCTGCTTGAATTTAGACCCCAGCCCGCACGGCATTCCTGCACATACTCCTACAGAAAGATTTCCCTTCCAAAGCGATTTCTTCTGGTGTTTTCCAGGATATGGAAAATAATTACAAAAATAATTTCTTTAAAGGATCAAGATGAAGGTAAATGTGAGTATCTGAGTTTCTCTCCTCTGACATCCATTTCCTGCAACTGTCTGATTGCTTGTGACTCCGTGTTAACTTGTACAGGGGTCCACAACATGTTATTTCAAATTCTTTCCCTGTGTTTAGGAAGTAGGTAATGATATTTTCCAAATAACTATCACACCATTGGAGACAACTAAAAGTTGTTTGAGGTAGCAGGTTTTGAAACAGAAAATAGAGAATTTATATTTTGTTTAGAAAGTTATATTCTATTTAGTTAGGGGTTTTTTTTTTGAAGCTTACTTGTTACTTTAAATATCAAAGTAATTGGGAAAAGGGAGTTTCAACATCACACTTTCAGTTAAATGACTTCAAATCATTTGCTGCGCATGCTGCAGCCTTTCATTCAAGAATTTTCAACTTTTTCAAAAGGGGAACTGAAGCAGAAACTCAGTTATTTTCCTAGCCTATTTAGCAAATGAATATTAAGCAACAAAACAAAACAAAACAATCCAGCAGTTTTCCTTCAGCATCTCTCATTTAACTACTTTGCTAAGTTTTTTTTTAAAAAACAGCTCCAAAGGAAACAACTCTCCTTTATGTTGAAGGATGATGCAAGAAATTACTTAGCTATCACCTCATTTAAAAAATTCAAAATATTTCTGATAAATGAAATGTAGATTACTGAAACAAAGCTGTCTTAAGTTTTCCAACCTCATAAATTAATTCTCACCACATTAGGCATGACCAATTACAGGGGAATAATTTAATATAGTTGCAAATTCTCAGAGCAAGTTGTAGTTATGAAATATCATACCATTTTGCTATTTTAAGTGACTCTCAGTTCCCCATTACTTGTGGAATGTTACTTTTGTTTTTTTTTTTTTTGGAATGTTACTTTTAAATTCAAATGTTGATATGGAGAGCTACTGAAATTCACGAGGGAAAATAGAATTAGGATTGCAGCTTCTTTCTTGGACAACTATGTCAAAGGGAGATGAATAAAGAGGAGGCAAGGAAGAAGAGGGGACAAAAGGAAGGCAGGAATCAGCTGCAAAACTTCGGGCTGGAAAGGGAGAGAAAAGTGAATGGCAGATGGGGGGGATGGGGAGGAGGAGGTGCTGGTTGGCAGGCGTTCTGTGTCAACTGCAGACCTCATGGTAGGACTCCAGCAGGGAGGAAAGTTGGCAAACGGTTTCCCTGGATGCTTTCCCCAATGCCATACACGCACAAGGCACAGCTACTGTGTCCTGCTACTGCACATCCTAACTGTGACTGTGGGTAACAGCCCCATCGTGCGAGGCTTCCCACCTGGCTCAGATCTTTGTGCACAGGAGCGAAATCACTCTGCACCCAGCCAAGGAAAAGCATGGGGTGGGGGGGTTTTGGGGTGGTGGGAAAGGCAGGGAGCCTCTCCCTGGGTGCTTAGAGACCCGTTCAATGCCTCCCTAACTTGCCTGAACCGGGCCAGACATACCTTTAAAGCTCTTCCAGCCTTCTTCCAGCCTAAACTTCTGTGATTCTTACTGCACCTACAGTTAGATCCCATTTAATTTAACAAATAGCTGTTGTCGCCTTCTCTGTGTGCCTTCACTCTGTGGCCCTACTCTCCAAGTTGCTGGGAAGAGGTAAACACAAAATTAGCTGGTTCTCAAAAACTGCTCAAGTACTTTTCAGCATCTTCCGTGCTGTACCTGGTGTAGGTTCTTTGAGGGATGGGCAATATGAAGTGGGCGGATGATGTTTCTCATCCTGGAAGTTCCAGGATGTGAGAAATCTTCTTTTGTGTGACAAACTGCTGTTGGCCAACATTAAAAGACTGACTCGAAGTCAAGATTCCTTTCTATCAAATCCAGGAACAGAAAGGGCTTGAGTGATAATGGCGAGCGGCTGCTTAAATTCACCAACGCAGAAATCATTTTCTTCCAATAGAACAGAATCCTTTTTTTAAAACTAGATTTTTGTATTGAAAAAGAAAAACATCTACACTTGGTTTTAATAATTCAAACTGTATAAATGAACATGAGCCGAAAATGTTTTCCTATAATCCCAAATCTCTAGCTCCCCAGACCCTACCCAGAGAGGAACCCCCAACAACTTACATAATCTGCCAGAAAGATGCTACACCTATAAAACAATAAATGGAGACATATCATGTGCATAGTTTCTCATTTTGTTCTTTTTTTTAAAATTTAATACTACATTTTGGAGATTGTTCTTTTTTGTGGCTGTAGGGTATTCTATTATACAAACGTATCCCCTTATCAGCTTCTTCTCCCTCTCTCAGGAGGCACACTTTGTCATTCACTCATCCAGTATCTACTGTTGTGCGCATGGCATCTTGTCATAGAGTCTGTGCTGAGCAGTACAGTTTGTAGGCTAAGGAAGACTCCAGACTCAAACCGCGTGTTCCAGTCTTGGCTTGGTCTTTGCTCACTGAGCTACCTTAGGCTACTTACTCACCCTCTCTGTGCTTTTACATTCTCATCTCTTAAATGAGATGTTAGTAATAATACCTGCTTCATGGGGTTGTGAATATCAAGTGAGATAATCAATGCTAATTACTTATCACAATGCCTGGGACAGAGTTGAAACACTGAGTTATCTTTATTAACCAGGCATTGTCCAAATGGTAGACAACAAAATTAACACAGTTCCTGAGTGATTGGAGTGCAATTGACACTCCTACCAGGGCAAGTAGGCTGGTTTCATTAGGACCTAATTTGCATCCAGAAGATCAAAGAGAATTTTTCTCCCTGTTTGATAAATTATAGGAACATGACACTAGCATTAAGAAGTCTGTATTGTTATGTGGGGTTTGCAAAATGGAGACCCTTTCCAGATCATCTTTGCTGTGACTCCTTAAGCTGGGCACAGTGGTGCACACACAGTGGTCCCAGCTACTCAGGAGACTGAGGCAGAAGGATCGCTTGAGCCCAGGAGTTGGAGGCTGCAGGGTGCTACGATCGTGCCTGTGAATAGCCGCTGCACTCCAGCCTGGGCAGCATAGTGGGACTCTGTCTCTAAAAAAAAAAAATTTTTCACCTCTCTCTCATCTTTCTGGAGGTTATCTCACAGAATGTTGTTCCCCATCAGAAATCTCTCCCAAAGGAAGTGTCATCTAGATACTTTGCTTCTTCCTCAGGGCTGTCCTTCCTCTTCTGTCTGTCTTCCCTTTTTGGAGAATGTGGGTGGGAAATATGGAGGTGGTGAGGGGATTTTTCTGATGCTCTTGGAAACTTTTCTTTCCTTTTTTTTTTTTTTTTTTAACACAATGAGCTTTTAAAAATGATAGAAAATAAACATTTGCCAGCCAACAGATAGCAGCATTCTCTCTGCTTTGATCATTCTAGTCCTATCTTTGAATGTATATAATGTGAAATACTTCCAAGAACATTCAAGGGGAGACCGTTGTCTCTAAAGATGATCAAAGAGTTTTCTCCATTCTGCATTTGCTCCTCATGCTGGGTCTGGACTCAGTGACTTCCTGAAGATACATAACAGGATATTTCACTCATCTCGAAGTAAAAGCGGCTACATCCGTGGAAATCCTTCATGGACTTCAGGGACTCACATTTCCCATACATCATTTATAGCGTATGCTTTTTTAAAAAAAAATGTGGTTCATATATAAGTAACAATTCTCTCATGGCCCTCAAAGGGGAAGTATGGACAATTCGGTCACATTGTCTTGACACTAAGAATTCTTGGAAGTAAAACATGGAGTCTGGAGAAGGAAGCTGAAATGCTAAACATGGATGTTTTTCAAAGAAGGATTTTAGTAGAAGAAAAATGTCCTTGTTCACTTTGGAGAGGGACATCTTTGCACGGAGCAGAGGCCCAGAGGTCACTCACTACTCAGGGTTTCTTCCACACTTACCGTCCCCATTGCTTGTTTGGGGCACTCACTTTTTACCACTCCCACTGTGGGCTGGTGACCTCATGGTATGATTTTCCATTCCAAGGAAATAATGATATTCTGGGCTACTTAGAGGCAAACTATCTTATGATCTCTATTCTCCTACCCTTAGTGACTAACTTTTTAGTTTTAGAAGTACAAGAGCCTTAAGGGGGCGTGTGAGAGATAAAATGTGGAGGCAGCAGGATTGGGCCACGGTGCTCCTCTGGCTCCTGTGACGGAAGAGAGGGAAGGAGCTGGGAGGGTGGAGAGAGCCTCGGACCGTGGGGCAGCTTGGACACAGTCTTGAGCAACTCAGTCGGGGGCTTTGGAGCAAAGATTGCCCATTAGAAGAGTCCCACATTAGGCAGAAATGCTCAGAGCCCCTGGCTATTAACTTTGAGTTTGCAAAGGAAACCTGGGTGAGGCCGCTAAGACCCCAGCAGCAGAGTGTTTCACCTGGCCAGAGCAGTGATGTTTTACATCTGCCTGAGCATGCCACTGTCTCCACTGCACCCAGATGTCTTACACCTGGCCTGCCTCACTTATGTGTATTTCTTGCCCAGCTCCTATTTGAGTTTGCTGCCCCTGCCCGTGGATGTCTTTAAACCTAGCTCCTTCTAGATGTCCCTGCATTTGAAGTTAAGAGCAGATTAGAGCAGGAAACAGACTTGGACTTGGGGAGGCTGTGTGGAGAACTGGCAATAGCAGACTTCAGAGTCAAACAGGTGCAAGTTTGAATCCCTGCTCTGCCACCTGCTGCTGTGAGACCTCAGGCAGGTCACTTAGCCTCTCCTAGTCCCGGGCACCACAAAGCACTCAAATGAGGCCACCAGTGCAGACGATTCTCCCCAGCCCCAGCTCTGTTCCTCTGAGTTTCCGCAGCGTTGCTCTTGCGAGTAAACTGAAGAGAATCGAAGTGGAAGGTACGGCAGAGAGGCAAGCTGTGCACGTGTACACGCGTGTCACCCAGGAACTGTGCCCATCCCGGCCTACGAGGGGATTTCCATCCTAGGAACAGAGATGATGGAGAAACGTCACTGAAGCTGCAGCAGGTTGCCTTCCCACCAGCTCCTCTAAGCTGCTCCCGTCTGGAACCGTGACCGTTGGTGATGCCCTG